CGCGAACGGCGGGGTCACCTTTCTTGTGGATTGGGCAGAGCACACTTTACTAAATTGTTGTTATTTGTTTATATATTTATGTGCATATTAATTACACATTAAAGAATAAAAAAAGACCTTTTTACAGATGTGTGCCTTTGAAAATATTGAAAATACATACAACAAATATTGTCTGAAAACGTCTTTGCGTAAATGTCATAAAACTACCCTTTTTTGGTGGCACACTGACAGACAAAAACAGACTAAAAAATAACAGGTTGGCATCAAGCGCGGTCGTTAGATAACATTCTTCATAAAGTTCGTTGAAAATGCTAAAAAACATAAAATAACCCTGATGCACAAAAATGGCCTTAATAAAAGTTAAATGAAATTGAAACGGTTATTTTGCATCTGCTGATAACCTGTAACTAATCCACATTATTAAAATAGTTCAGTCACCCTTGAAAACTATATTTAATGAAGCAAAATAAATAACAGTGGTTTACAGCAAAGATGTTCTATAGATTCCACTACTCAATCCCTAAATAGAATTGCTCTGTGATTCCGAAAATCTAGATTTTTTTCTATGGATAACTTTTCGAGATATTTGCAATTTACCGCTATTCAGCTTAAAAAAAAGAGTGGTTTCACTTAATCACGTATATCTTACGAACCAATTAAATAATCCTAATACGAGATACGGAAACTGAAAGCTTATAAACCTTTCCACAAACTGAATAAACATTACTCTTCGAAAGCCCTGATATTTTCTGAGAAACTAATTAATCATTTCTGACACCTCTTGCTTTCAATGCAAAAACTTTACCTATGTACGTGGCGTATGAGTAAAACTCTTATCTGCTCATATTTCATACAAAAAATCCTTGCGCATTTTCATTTGACCAATCATTGCCTTCTTATTTATCCATAGATTTTCTTCATCGGTAGCTTAATTTTTTTCTAAAGGAACACAAGTGTAAAACATTTACACAGAAACTGTTATTTTTTAATTATATCCCTGTTAAAAACAAAAAATCTGAATGATTTTTTTTGTATAATATGTATTTATTTATTGACTCTTTCTTTCGAAACTAACAATAAGTTTTCAAATCTTAAAAACTACCACTAAATTTTGCATTTTTTTACATATATATTTATTGCAGTTGCTGCGTCTTTTACGGCTGTCGGAATGGACAAGATTCCGAACAGCAGATTCGCTGGATAACGTACTGGGCAAGCGGTCGAAAGGAAAAGTTCCAGAGCCGCACTGCGTTCGCTTCTCTGTATTTACTAGGGTGGGTCGATTCTGGACTTTTTTCGATTCGAGATTTCTAATAGTGCGGAAAAGTTGCCTAAGTACTTCCTGATTCCAATACAATGTTTCGTTTTGAGATCGGACAGCATCTTCAACCCCAACTTGAAATTTCGGAAATTTGCCTAAAATCGTGAAATTACCTACCTAGCGCCTGAAATACGCCTCTCATGGCAGAGTGTATAAAACAAAAGTTGTTTGTCGGGTCATTAGCTACTGAATATGATCATGGCCGTAGGACGAATCGTTCCCGAGATACGAGCGAAAAGGCGGCGCGCCGCAGCGCAAGGTGAAAATCGGCTTGCGGCCACACTTCTCCCTGAATGATTTCGCCGAGTGCTATCAGTTACATTCATTCCCCTGTGCCATACGACACGTTCGGACAGGTCACCTCACAAATATTCTTTCATCGAGTTCCTTCACTCTTGTCGTTGATTTTGCCGAGTGCTATCTCTTACATTCATTCCCCTGCGCCATACGACACGTTCGGACAGGTATCCACACAAATATTCTTTCATCGAGTTCCTTCACTCTTGTCGTTGATTTCGCCGAGAGCAATCACTTACATTCTCTCAACAGAACACAAAACTCAACATGTCTGTATCTAAATTTAAATTTAGACAGAATTGTCCTGTGTTTGGCATATATCCGTACGATCTCACTGAGTCCAAGCTACCCAGTTACCAGGATGTTCTTTTGCGTTATCAGTGTTAAAGATTTCGTATAGGGCGACAACTATGAACCTAGGAGTAAAAAGTTTTCAGAAATAGTTGCAAAAAAAAAGGTTGCAAATATTTTCAAAAAGTCATCTATTCCGATAGTCTCACACACCAGAACTCTACAAATGCTCGCCACATACCATAAGAAATTTCTGACACTTAAACAAATGCCTTTAAGGAACCAAATAGGTTTGCCCTCTAAAAGAGAGGATTTTAACTCTTCTGCCGCAGAATTATTTGACATCGCTGCTTGTAAATGCATTTCTTTTTCTTCATGTAATTGTGCAAAGGAAAGGAAAGTTCCTATCATTGAACAACCAGTTCTCTTGGACCAGAGAACCAAAAGAATTGGTCGCATTGGAAGAAAGAGAAACGAACGTAAAGAAAAGCTTTAAAAACGTCATTCAACATCAAAACTTACCAGAAAAGTATCATCTACAACATGTGACCATTCAGATCAACCAGACACTCACACAGACGACAACAATGTCGGTTCATCGCACATAGCTTCTTCCAAAAACGATGCTGAATGCCAAAGCAGGCATTCATAGGCTTATACGGAAATTGCAAAAACTCGGCTCTGGGCCACATATCGGGCCCATTTTTCGCAGGTGTATTTCTATTAATGTTAGTAATATGTGTTTTGAATTTGAAGCAAATCGGACCATAAATGAAGTTTTTCGGAATAACTCTACTCCTACTCCACCTACTGAAAAATTAAACAAAATTCGCACCTCCCCTTTGAAATACCTTTCGAACAAAAGAAGAATCATTCAAATTGGTTGAGAAACATAGGAGCAGTAGGGAGTAATAGATTTGTATGGGATTTCGTTAGCGTATTAATATATAGATAGTAGATGGTGAAACCAAAGCAGACATTCATAGGCTTATACGGAAATCGGAAAAACTCGGCTCTGGGCCACATATCGGGCCCATTTTTCGCAGGTGTATTTCTATTGATGTTAGTAATATGTGTTTTCAATTTGAAGCAAATCGGACCATAAATGAAGTTTTTCGGAATAACTCCACCTACTGAAAAAAAGAAACAAAATGCGCACCTCCCCTTTGCAATACCTTTCGAACAAAAGAAGAATCATTCAAATTGGTTGAGAAACATAGGAGCAGTAGGGAGGAATAGATTTGTCCTCCTTTTTGGCATTTTTCTTGTGATGTATTTGAAGTGTACATACGATGCACTATGTGAAGCTTTGTCAGGGTAGATGGTTGCCCTGAAACTCAGATGGTTGTTTAAAACGACAATATTATGAAATACGTGAGCCAAACAAGGACAATAGGGCAAAAACATGCCCTTTAATAGGGTTTAGTGTAACATCAAACACATTTTGCACCGGGGAAGTGCAACATTTTTTTGGAAGAAACGAAATCACCGTAAATGTAAGCACCACTTACACTTACATATTTAATTTTTTTTATTTTGGTAAAGTAATTCTAATTTTTATAATCAATCAAAGTAATTAAAATAGCAATTTTGACTTTTTAGCTTATCCGCGCAAAAACAAGACATTCAAAAATCATGGCAAATAGTTAATGTAATATTGGAAAATGTATTAGGAGTTAAGAAAAATGTGTGCTCTTCATTGGAAATAAACTGTATAAACTTGAAATCTGTCACTCGTAATTATCAAATTGGTAATATTTTAAGTTCTTCTCCATTTTGCACTTTCTACTAAATTGTTGCTATTTGTTTATATAGGTATTAATTACATATCTTCTTCTTCTTTTTATTTGGCGCTGTAACCGCCTAGGCGATTTTGGCCGAGTTCAACAAAGCACGCCAGTCGGTTCTTTTCTGTGCCAGCTGACGCCAATTGGAAATGCCAAGTGAAGCCAAGTTGCTCTCCACTTGATCTTTCCAACCACCAGCGAGTTCCGAGTTGAATACTTTCAGAGCTGGAGCGTCGGAGTCCAATCGAACGACATGGTCAAGCCAGCGGAGCCGCTGTATTTTAATTCGTTGCACCATGTCTTTGTCAAGCTCATCGTTCCATCATCTGCGGTACTCGCCATCGCCAACGCGTAAAGGCCCGTAAATCTTGCTCAAAATCTTTCTCTCGAATACTCCAAGAGCCGCCTCATCGGATGTTGTCATTGTCCATGTTTCGGCGCCATACACCAACACGGGCATGATGAGTGACTTATATGTAGAGCGTGGTTTTCGTACGTCGAGAGAGGACTTTACTCCTGAATTG